AAATGCACGGGGGATTTAAATATCCCCGCGGGATTTAAATAAACATGGCCGCCGCTTTTTTTCCGGCTTGGGGAAAAGCCGGAAAAGAGCGTCCAGACTGGCACGATCCTCCGGAATAAAGCCCTATTCCAGAGGAACTCTTATTCCTACTTGAATGGAGCACAGATGGAGGTAGGCAACAGCCCAGGCCACCCCGTTACAGGGCTTGTGGTCAAGCAAACTCCATCACCAAGCCCTGTGATGCACCCTTCCACACAGGCTTTCCCCTTAGGCCTCCAGCATAGGAGGCAACTGACTTGCATTCTAGGGATCACTGCATCACCAAGCCCTGTGATGCACCCTTCCACACAGGCTTTCCCCTTAGACCTCCAGCATAGGAGGCAGCTGACTTGCATTCTAGGGCTCACTGAGGGGGGAAATGCAAAGCCCTGCTTCCCACAAGCAGTCAGGGGATTTCTCCCTGCACCCCAACACTCTGCCTCTGGCTGGAGTCCCCTCCCAAAGACAGCTCCCTACGCTCCGTCCTACACCCCAACACTCTGCCTCAGCCTGGTGTCCCCTCTTGCACCCAGATTCCTCCACAGAACTTGCACCTCTCACGCCCTCCTCCTCCCAAATCCCTCGGTCCCAGCCCAGGGCCTGCACCCTTGGCCCAGCCTACTGAAAGTGAGTGAGAGTGAGGGAGAGCAAGTGATTGGGGGAGGAGGAGAGAGTGGGCGGAGCCTCAGGGAAGGGGTGGGGCCTTGGGGAAGGGGTGGGTTAGATCCTGGATCGCCCTGACATTTAAAAAGTGCTCTTGAGCGGGAAAAGGTTGGAGACCACTGCTGTAGGCCCACTAAACATTATTCAGAACATCCCTAACATGGCACAAGCTTTAGACACCACATTTATCCAAGTGATTTTGAGATATTCATGTTACGTGATACTTTTGCCTATAAGAAAGTGGACTTTCTTGCTCTTTTGGCATTTCAGGATCTCCCAGGGCATGTGATGAATTCAACTGCCAGAGTAATTTTGCGTTTGCCTTGTTACCTTTGGACAGCACTGCTGATCTGCCTGATAGCTTATTTCCTTCCCAGTGTTTCCAGTGTAAATATAAAATGAGAGGAGAAATGGTAAATAAAGGGTTTGGGGGGAGAGAGGAGGGTGGAAAGAAATGATTCATGTATATTTCTATTTGTCTCCTGCACCAGTTTGGTGGCCAGTGTCCTCTCCTTCCCAGCTAATGCAAATTCGTCCTTTCACACACTCCTTCCCTATGGCCACAGGAATTTCAAACCATTCCCTGGCTGGCAGGGGTTTCACCTCACTGTGGCCAAGGGGCATAGCCCGGGTGTGAAGGAGCATGGACCCAAATCTGGAAAACACCTATTGAACTCCACTGGAGTTCGGTGTATTCAGGGAATCCAGTGGGAGTTAGGCACCTAAATGTCTTTGAGGATCTGAGCTTTGATGTGTCCCTCCTCCGGGGTCTCCAGGCTTTGGGTCCATGCAGAGAAGCAGCCATTCCCCTCCCAGTAGTTCACATCACTCATCACCCCCAGGAGTGACCACATACCCTGTCTCACCTGCCAGGTCACCTCAGCCTGCTTTTCCCCGCCTTGTCACAGGCGCCTTTCCTGTGCCTTTCAGCTGCGAGCCCAGTGCAGCCTCTTTCCAGGCCCTGCTCCCCTTCTTGTTCGGAAGCCCACCAGCCCGATTTCACGCCGGCTTTGCTTTCACGGCCTCACCCAGCCAGCCGTGGGACTGGTTCAGGGGCGGAGAGGAAGCAGCCAGGCTCAGAGCAGAGCTGGGAATGGAACCAAGCTTGAATGCTCCGCTCACCAGGGGACACCTTCCATTCCAGGACAAACCAAGCAGCCCGAGCGGGGATCTTGTTAAAGTGAGCAATGTGAAAACGCCACTGGCAGAATGCAAGATTTCAAAGTGTAATATGTTTATTTCTGGGAGTTGCGGGCTGCACGTATTCATTATTAGCTGAGGTACAGTGGCCTAATTTTTAACCTGATGCCTGTGGTTAAGCATGGTGATCCACCACCAATTCAGAGAAAAATAGGCCATGTCAACAGATTGTTTTTCTGGCCCCAATCCTGCAAAGGATTAATCAGCTGCTAAGCCTGTAAGAAATGCTGATGGTTTGTTGACAAGAAAAGCTGAGTGAACCACAATGAACTGAGAAAGCACTTTATCTGACTGTACAGTGCATGGAGCACATTAGTTGATATGCCTGTCACCTGCAAGAATTAATTTTGTTTTCAAGTATTTATATATATGTGTCTATATATGTATATATACACACATCCGTCATAATAAACCAAATATTGTGGATTTATGCTTTGTCTTGATTTATTTTGATTGCAAGAAGGGGTACCAGGTTAAATTATCTTGGGAATATACTGTAATATATTTCTTTGGGTTGAGCTGACACCTACTGGTTTAAAAAAGGAAAGTAACAGCAGCCAGTTTCGTGTTCTAGCAGAAGCTGTTGTGACTGGTTGCATAGCACATAGATCAAAGTTCATAGATCAAAGTAATCAGGAGAAAGTGGCACGTAACCTAATATTTCTTTTCCCCTGAGGCCTGAGGACTGTTTATTTGTAATGGTATTTAAAGCTGTTAAGGATGCAGATTGGCACCTACGGGAATTCCAGATACCTCAGTGCCCAAGTCCCAGAAGTCCTAAAAATCATTGTTTCTGGTGTGTGCTTTCAGGGGGAGTGTGGACTAGTGGTTAAAGTGGAGTTTAGGAAGCAGGCTTTCTGGGTTCTTTCCCTGCTAAGAGACTGACAGCCATGGCTCTAAGCTTTTACTTCTGCCACTCCCACTTACTGCCACCGCTTACTTGTTAGAGCCACATGTTAAACAATGCCAGGTCCTCAGTTCATAAACTGTGTGCATAAAACTCATTAAGACAGTAAGGCTGTGTCTAGACTGCAGGGTTTTTTCGAAAAAAGTAGCCTTTTTTCGAAAAACTTCACCTGCATCTAGACTACAGCCGCGTTATTTCAAAATTAAATCGAAAGAATGCGACTTTTCTTTCGACGGCGGTACTCCTCATTTCATGAGGAAGAACGCATTTTTTCGAAAGTGCTCTTTCGAAAAAAGGCATTCTTGAATGCAAACAGGGCTTTTTCGAAAGCATCCAGACTGCCTGGGTGCTCTCTTTCGAAAAAGCGGCTCACTTTTTCGAAAGAAGAGGTTACAGTCTAGATGTTCTTTTTTGGAAGAAGCTTTTCCAAAAGTATCTTTTGAAAAAGCCTCTTTCGAAAGAGGCTTGCAGTCTAGACGTAGCGTAAGAGGAAAACATATGTTATGTTTGCTGTATGGCTTGCCATTTAGATGTCCTCTACACTAGGTAGCTAACTGCCGTGCAACATATATGAGTGTTTCCAAACTTTTCAGGTCAGCAACCCCTTATTTGAAGGATCTGCAATCCTCCACAATTTATTATAAAAGAGTAAAAAAAAAGGAATCAGTGATCCTCCTCCCACACTGTGTGTTTCGAGAGGGTGACAGAATAGTTGAAGACCTTGAGAGAACTGAGGGAAATTGTCTTTGCTTTACAGAGCAACACAATTCTCAATGAGTTACCACTCTCCAGATTGCCTGTCATGACCCCTGGTTGGGAAACACAGGCATACAGGCTAAAAGAATAGTTAATGAACTTGCTTTGCCCTTTCACTTGGGGTATGTCCACACTGCATTCCTCTGTTGAGAGAGGAATGCAAATGCAGCCGAGCGAAATTGCAAATGAAGCACGGATTTGAATTTCCCACGCTTCATTTGCATAATGGTATCTGGGCGCTTTTTCAAAATACACTATTTTGAAAAAAATAACCGCTGTCTAGATGGGGTTATTTTGAAAAAAAAACACCCCTTCTTTCGAAATAACTCTTAAACCCCATTTTTTAAGGACTAAGGGTTATTTTGAAAGAAGGGTTTTTTTTTTAATAACCCCGTCTAGACGGGGGAGGGGGTTTCCGAAATAGGGTATTTCAAAAAAGCGCCCAGATGCCATTATGCAAATGAAGTGTGGGAAATTCAAATCGGTTGGCAGCATTTGCATTCCTCTCTTGAAAGAGGAATGCAGTGTAGACATACCCTTGGGCTGTGTCTAGACTATACCTCTCTGTCGATAGAGAGATGTAGATTAGGCACGTCGAAATTGCTGATGAAGCAGGGATTTAAATATCCTGTGCTTCATTAGTATAAACATGGCCACTGCTTTTTTTCGAAACAGAGCTTTTTCAAAGAAAAAACCCGGCAGTCTAGATGCGGATCTGTCAAAAAAAAACCTTTTTCGAAAGATCCTGTAAACCTCATTTTTTTTGAGGAATACAGGATCTGTTGAAAAAGGGTTTATTTTCAACAGATTTATTATCTAGACTGCTGTTTTTTTCGAAAAAGCTCTGTTTCAGGAAAAAAAGCGGCGGCCATGTTTATGTTAATGAAGCATGGGATATTTAAATCCCTGCTTCATTAGCAATTTTGACTTGCTTGATTTGCATCCCTCTTTTGACAGAGGGATGCTGTCTAGACGTAGCCAATAGAATTTGTCTAGTGGGTGAATGCGACAGGGATAATCCATCCCCTGAAAGAGCTCTTTGGCCGGCTCTGGGTGCAGAAGCCTTTACGCCATTTTGGCTGAGTCTCGAGAGCCAGTGTGATGCCCATGACCCACCTCAATTCTGCTTTGAGGAGTTGGTGCAGAATTTAATCCTTTACTAGCCGTTCGTTGCATGGACTCAGCCATCACCATTCAAGATATGCTGGTCAATGGAATTGTGTAGGTCAAGGCTGGTTCATCCTAGGTTAAAAGTCAGCATCTTGGGGTGGATATTCGTGTTTACAAATTCAGCTTGGGTTCAGTAGCTACTGACGCTGAAATTTAAAAATATAACAACATCTGGTGGAGATGCAGAGGGGTGGTGAGTGCAAGGAAACACTGTTCTGGCCCAATAACAAGGGGTTGTTCCCTGTTCCCGTTCACTTGTCCACAGCGAGCCATTCGAGTCCGCAGCCATTCCATGGAAACCATGGTGGGGAGTCAGAAGAAACATCAGAGCGGCGGGATCCCCGGGAGCCTGAGTGGTGGCATCGCTCACAACAGCGGTGAAATAACAAAGACGACCTTCTCGGTGAGTCCAGCATATCTGCTGTGGGACAACTGTTGATAGATCACAGGAGCAGATGGAGGATGCGGTCTGTCCTTACTTTCCCTCACAGTGCTGTTCTCCGCAATGTATGGATATACACTCTAGTGTGGACAAAGCACTGCACCAGGTGTCAAGCAACCTTGGGACTATCCCTGTAAATGGCAGAGCTATTGTGTGACCTTGGTCAAGTCACTTCACCTCTCTGTGCCTCTGTTCCCCTCCCGCCCTTTGGCCTTCTTGTCTAATGAGACTGTAAACTCCCTGGAGCAGGAACCATTACTTAATATATGACCTTATAGTGCCTGGTACGCTGGGATCCTGGCACAGTCAGGGCTTGAGAGTGATGCCATAAGCATATGTATTTTTTCTAGTATACAGGCAGTCCCTGGGTTACGTACAAGATAGGGACTGTAGGTTTGTTCTTAAGTTGAATCTGTATGGGTATGTCTACACTACCCTCCTAGTTCGAACTAGGAGGGTAGTGTAGACATACCCAAAGATTGGTACACTACCCTTGATCTAAAAGATGCCTACTTCCACATTACTATCACACTGCATCACAGATGGTTCCTCTGCTTTATAGTGGGCCAGGACCACTATCAGCTTATGGCCCTCTCTTTTGGCCTTTGTACAGCCCTTCGAGTATTCACAAAGTACATGGCCATTGTGGCCACTGCCCTGAGAAAGCGGGATGTCTAGTGTTCCCCTACCTGGATGACTGGCTTCTCCAAGCTTCTTCTTCGGATCAGCTGCTTGCTCACATCACTCTAGTGCAGGACTTTTTTCAAGAGCTGGGGTTGCTCCTGAACATGGCCAAGTCAACCCTGGTCCCCACCCAGGGTATAGAGTACCCACCTGAACTTGGTGTTGGCCACAGCCTCCCTTCCCAGATCCTATTTCATGATGCGATCAAAGCTGCCACCCTGGGCATGCGTGCATTCCCAATGACCATGTCCAGGTCTTGCATGTGCCTCCTGGGGCTGAAGGCCGCATGCACGTACATCATTCAACATGCCAGGCTTCACATTCACCCACTACAGATGAGGCATGCAGGAATTCACAACCCGTGGGACAGAGCAGTGACATTTCCACCCCACGTCCTGTGCTCTCTAGACTGGTGAACCCAGGAGGAGGTGGTTTGTGCCAGAGTCCCATTCCTCAGATTGCTATCACCCCAGGTTGTGGGACTCACCTCAGAGACATGCAGATCCAAGGTATGTGGCCAACGGACAACCTCTCCCTGCATATCAATGTCATGTGTGGCCTTTCTCCCTCGGCTCAGGTGCAAAATGATCCTTATTCTTTCTGACAATATATTGGCGGTCTCCTATATCAAAAGGCCGTGTGGGGCATGCTTCCCTTCCCTGTGTTAGGAAGCTGTGGGAGCTATGCTTCGGGGCAGATATTCACTTGGTTGACTTATCTCCCAGGGTCTCAGAACACTCTGGGGGATTGGCTGAGCAGGTCCTTCTCCTGCCATGAGTGGTGTGTCAGGACTTTGGCAGGCTTCACCATCCAAACCTATGATCCCTGAACCTAATGGCATGGAAGCTCCATGGTTGACAGTGGCAGAGCTATAGTGCTCAGAGCCCTGGAGGAGGCGGGTGGCGGGACCAGGCGTCCCGCCGCTCCAGTCCTCCGTGGCGAGAAAATCCCCGTTCGTAACTGGGGATCCGACATAAGTCGGATCCCCGTAACTCGGGGACTGCCTGTATTAGGTTGGACATTAGGAAAAACTTCTTGTCAGGGTGGTTAAATACTGGAATAAGTTGCCTAGGGAGGTTGTGGAATCTCCATCTCTGGAGATATTTTAGAGCAGGTTAGACACACACCTGTCACGGATGGTCTAGATGGTGCTTGGTTCTGCTGTGAGGGCAGGGGACTGGACTCGGTGACCTCTCACGTTCCCTTCCAGTTCTAGGGTTCTATGATTCAGTTCAGATTTAAATATCTCGTGACAGGGCTTCCACCAGTCGCTTGGAGAGACTGTTCCAAAATCTTATAAATATTGGTGCAGATTTATAAATATTAGGTGACTAACTCCCACTGGTCATGTAATAATAATCAATGGAAATTAGGTACCTAACTCACATAGATGCTTTAGTAAACCCCAGTAGGCACCTATGTATTTAGATACCGACATATATTTGTCAGTCTGGCCCATTCCCATCAGGATTTTTCCTCCTTATTCAGGCCTAATTTTTCTTTTCTTTTATCTGACTAGTCTTTGTTATACCCTCCTGAATCATCAACAACTTTTCTCCCTTTTATATGTTTCAAATCCTTTATCACTGGGTTATCCTGGCCCCTTTAATCTTTGGTGATCCAAACTATACATCTCCCTAAAACTTTGTAGGCAGAAATATTCGCAGAAAAGGTGCATTCATAAATGGGAACTTTGTTTGCAAAGCTAGTGTCAAACATTACCGTTTGCTAGACTGTTGGTGTAATAAGGACAAGGACTAGATCTGAGTGGCAGACTGAGATGTTTAGCTTGTTTTGGACCAATTTTTATTCCATTGTCTGTCGAAAACTTAGAGCTTTCAGATTGTCTTCCTAGATTTTTTTCTCTTTTTTTGGGGAGTGGCATGAAATATGTTGTAGATCTTCACAACGAGGGAAAAATGCACAGCTGGAAATAAGTGTCTGATGTAATTTCTGTTTTGGCTGTGGCAGGGGTAAGACCCCAGAGAGGAATATTGTTGTTTTATTTTAAATTGGAACACTTTGGTTTTCAGCCTCCTGTAGCAGCAGCTGCAACAGCCAAGAACCAGTCGAGAAGCCCTATTAAGCGACGGTCAGGGCTGTTCCCCCGTCTGCACACAGGATCAGAAAGCCAATCAGAAAGCAGGACGAGATGGTAAATACTGATGTGCACCAGTAGCAATTTGTTTGTCTGGGCCTTTGTCTTGACTACGAAAACAGACCATGCTTGGCATCACTTAGCCCAGTGGTTCTCAACTCGTTTCAGTCCACGGACCACCAGGCCAATCAAAAACTTTTCGTGGGCCACCTCCTTTTTGAGACATGATAAAAAAAGAGCAGACAACGAACATTTTGGTTTGAAATTTATTTCTTACTGACAGATGTTTGGTGCCTGCCCATGCCGTGTGACTTTGGATAATGTTCCTGTGGACCCCCAAAAAGGTCACCATGGACCACCAGTTGAGAACCACAGACTTAGCCCTACCATGCCATTAATATTAGGTGATCGGGACTGACCCTACGCTCCCCTCATAGGTTGACCACATCCACATAAGTGCCAAACTCTGCCTGTCTAAGAGGCAAAGTCATGGACAAGGGTGCCATTGCTGACAGATGTTAGCTAACACAATGTCATCCATAAGCTCTTTTCCTAGCTAAGAAAAGGACTTAGACTGAAAGGGTTCCCTCCCCACCTTGCTAGTCCTAAAAGGAATGTTACTGGTGTTGATCTAGTTCAGTGGTTCCCAACATTTTTCGTATCCCGGCCCGGCAAACCCATTCACAAACTTTTGGCGGACCAGTAACATTTTAATTGCATATTTGCATATTGATTATGGTAATTCGCTTTAAGAGGTCACGCGTTATTTTACATCGCATCTGTACACACACAATACGTGTCGTAACGGATCAGTACAACACTAAAAAATTCACAGAAAGAATTCCTCCAGGGAGACTGGTGCCTGCAGATGGAGGTGTGCAGGGAGGGGCACCTGCAAGGGCAGGGTGTATGTGGGGCACCCTATTTAGCAACCGAAATTTTGTCAGGGGCATAGGAGCTGATGCCCCCATGTGGTACCACCAGTCACCTCTGCCCTCCATGGGACGGGGAAGCTGCCATTGTGTGCCATTGTATCTTCCCCCATCTCCTTCTGTACAACCCCTGCCCTCTATCTCCTCCTTCCTCAGCCAGGCTGCTCTGGCTCCCACAGTCTCCCCCCAGCCTCCCCTCCCTGCATCCCCCGCCTTTTCCTCCATTGTACCCCTCCTCCCATCTGCCCCATAAGTCTCCCCTGAATCCCCCCAATGTCCCTTCAGCACCCCCTGCATTCCCCCCACCCCCTCATATATCTCTGTTCTCCCTCACTCCCCTTATCTGCCCTGTCCCTCTTCAGCCTCCTCCTGACCCCCTCAGGGCTGGCTCCCCTTGCCGGGCACACGCTGGGAGCTGGTGGTAGCTTCCCTGGACTCCAGACATGGATCACAGCCAGCTCTGCTGGGAGCAGCCCAGGGCCCAACCCTCCCCCTGCAGCCCCGGGGCACCATGGGCACCACTCCTGGGAGGGAGGAGATGGGAGAGGGGGCATCTCTGACTTGCCCCCCCAGGTGCTGCCCGCCCTGGGGCAGAGGCTGGGTCACACAGGGCCCTGGTCAGGCTAGGGGTGCTGCCCTGGGGGAGGCTCCTGGGGAGCAGCGGGACTGGCCTTTCTGGAGATTCTCCCTCCCAGCTGCAGCCCAGGCTCTGGAGGCCCCACAGCAGCCCCTGCTGGGCTCGGGGATCTGGCCCGGAGCCTGGCCCCAGAATCCCCACAAGCAGCGGCTGCAAGTTGCTTCCTGCTGCCAGGCCTGAGCCAGCGATCGCTTCCCCCCAGCTCCTGCTGCTGCGACCCCTGCCAGGCCCCCCCGGGAGAGGGGAGTGACATAAATGCTCTTGCTTTAAAAAGGCTGTAAATCTAAACTGATCCCTGTGCCTGAGTGAGTGATGGGACAAACACTGTACACAGATTAGAATGGAATGAATCCGCGTACGGGGCTGGCCTGATTAAAGGGCCAAGTCATGTCATACGATTCTTCACCTCCCAGAGATGTGGGCTCTCGTGAGAACAATGTTCCCACGTATTTGTATGACAGAACGCAGACAGGGTGGGCCAGCGTCTGGAAAGGAGGTCCAGACCCAAAATTTAGGTTAGGATCTGAACTTCTCCCAGGTTTTGGGGCTTTGGAAGTGGGGCCCTACCAGCAGACACCTCCTTCGAAGAAGGAGACTCCTTTACCCACCTAACCCGTGCATCAGTCTGACCAACTTTATGGAAACGAAGGTTTGATGCTAGAGACTTCGCATGCTCTTAGTAAACAATCAGTGTCCTGTGTTAATCTCCTGTGTCTACGGGTTAGCTGCCAGCATCCTGGATCCCTTATTACTGAGTTTCTTGTCAGGATTTGATCCTGAGTCAGCAACTGTTGCTCTGATGGATTTACATTGGCCTAAATCAGGAGAAGATTTTGGCCCAGCTGTTTCTTGTCTTCTGTATAATCTGTCCAATCTGTTTTTCGCCCCTCAGTGACAGTGTTTCAGGAACACAGAAGACACCGGATGGGGGACATTCTTCTCAAGACATGAAATCTGAAACTTCATCTAACCCTAGCTCTCCTGAAATATGCCCCAACAAAGAAAGGTAAATAGAAAAGCCTGGAGTTTTTGCCACAGGCTATGTCTACACTGCGCCCAAGAAATATGCAAATTAGGTGAAGCCTGGAATATCACAGCGCCTCATTTGCATAATTAATTAGGCTCTGTTTTTGCACAAAACCCTCCTCTTGCGCAAGAGCCGTTCTTCCGCATTTTTTTCAGGAAGAATGGCTCTTGCGCAAGAGGGTTTTTTTGCGCAAAAAGGAGCCATGTAGACAACTTCTTTTTGCGCAAAAGCCTCTTGTGCAGAAACGGAGCCTAATTAATTATGCAAATGAGGCGCTGTGATATTCCAGGCTTCACCTAATTTGCATATTTCTTGCACCAAATGGGTGCAATGTAGACATAGCCACAGAGTCGTCCTTTATGCACTTTAGTAAAGAGCCTCCAGGCAACCAGATGTGAGGAAAGTGAATTTATTGTGTGACTCACTTACAGAAACCTACCACAGTGTCTTTCTTTAAGTGAGTTTTGTTATTAAGCAAAATACAGCCAAGCAGGCATTTCCTTTGCTTGCCTGGAAATACCTACAATTCTCTCGTGAACCCTCTTATTTAAGAAAAAGAACCCAATATTTTGCAGATATTGTTCAAAACACGACAGCATTGCAGTGAACACATTCTATAGGGCTATTTTGTCAAACGTGAAAGGTGAGGCTAGTAGGAATCCATGGAAAGCAGAAGGGAAATCGATAGAAATATTTAGTGTTTTGTTTAGCCTTTCAGGAATGAACATGGGCCATTTGTTTCTGTTAATCTTATACACTCATCACTTCATGAGGTTTTTTTTAATGATTTCATATGGGTTTAAAGACATCAGGCCCAACTCACCCCGATGCAATGGTGTTGAGTCAATGAATTGCATCGAGGATGAACGTTTCCCATTTGCCTTAAGGATGAAGCTGTCCGGGCTGCAATCATCTGTTTTCTTTTTGTTCGCTTGCTAGGCCATTTATTAAATTGAAAGAGAATGGAAGATCAAACATCTCACGCTCTTCATCAAGTACCAGCAGCTTCAGCAGCACAGCAGGGGAGAGTGAAACCTTGGAAGAATACGATAGCGTGGTAGGCATTAAAATACCACCACACTTACATACAGCAGGGCCTGCTTCTGATCCTGTTTACACTTGTCTAAGTCCCTTGACTCCTACTGAGTTACACCTGATTTACACTGGTGTAAGTTCAGAATTAGGCTCATAATAGGTACACATAGTTGTATATTTATCTAAATGCCTTCATGTCACTGATTTTACTGCAGTAAAGCTTTTCTCTTTAGCCACCATTTTCAAAAATGAGTTCCCCTCACCTCAGTTAACTAAAAATTCTGCTGTAGTTCTCACTCTAACTCCTGGACTGAGTCCACTGGTCCTCAGCACAATAAAATAGTGAATGTTAAGGGCAGGTCTACACTGTGGGGCAGTGTTGACCTAAGACATGCAACTCCAGCTCTGTGAATAGCATAGCTGAAGTCAATGTACTTTAGGTCAAGTTGCCACGTGGTCTCCACTGGGGGGGAAGGGGCTGATGGGAGAAAGTCTCCTGTCGACTTCCCTTATGCTTCTTGTTCCGGTGGAGTACCAGAGTGAACAAGATAGCGATCAGTGGTTGATTTAGAAAGTCTTTACTAGACCTGCTAAATCAACCCCTGGCAGATCAATCACTGCAGCACTGATCTCCTGGTGGATCTGCCCTAAAGTTATGTCTGCACTTCAGTCACGGGGTATTAGTGCAATTAGTGTAGACACACCCAAGCTTTACTAAAGCCAGCTAGTTCAGATGCTAGACTAGTGAAGCATGTTAGCCTGTACTTCAGCAGATTGCATAGTGCAGCTAGAAATCTTACCGGTAATGACATTCACAGGTCAAGTTATAGTGGCTGCTCCTTCCCCCTCCATATTTGCATTGTACTCATCACATGGTAGCAAAGTGCCTCAAAGTGTCATTACCTCCATGTTATTGATGGGGAAACTGAGGCACAGAGCCGTGAAGTGACTTTTCTGGTCACACAGGGAGCCTGTGACACAGCCAAGAATATAATGCAGTCTCCTACTTGGATGATTGCTCCATGTTCACAGTCCTAGGAGCTTTGCTGCATCTTATTGCGGATTGTGGGGGGCAGAGCTGTGCAAGTCTAAGCACTAGCAGGAAGCCAAGAGAGTTTGCTCCATCCATACCTCTTCTCCCAAGAATCGTCCCACTTCCACTGTGACACTCGGCCTGGGGTCTCCACTGAGCACAGAAGGCAGTGCAATATAAACAGAACACCCTTGACGAAAGCTCTCGGTAAATAGTCTTTGCTCAATTTCTGCCTACAGGGCAGCCAGCCATCCACGGCATCACCTTTCAAACAGGACGTGTTTGTCTATGGCTCTTCTCCCAGCAGTGAGAATCCAAGCATGGCAGCAGCTGCGACACCAGTGATCATGAGCAGGAGCCCCACAGGTGGGTAGGATGCGGTAGTAGCACCGAATGGGACAGAAGCCTGTCTCTGTGGGGCACACGTGCACATTTCTTTAGGGAGGCCAGTTCACTAAGTGCCTCTCCTGGCACGAAACCTAAGGAGTTGGCTCCATTCTAGCCTTCTTGAAAGGTTCTTGTACTGCCCTTCCACCACAGTGCCCGAGTGTAACCCGCACGCAGAGCTTCCGTCTACACTGCCTCATTTTTACATAATGAGGAACATGGCCCTGTCTACGCTGCGTTTTTTCCGCAAAAACCTCTTTTTCAAAAAGGATCAGAAGAGAATATGCAAATGAGAGCACAAGAAATGCTAATGAGCGCTTCATTTGCATTTCCTCTTCCGCAAAAATGATGCCGTGTAGACAAAGCACTAGTGTGGTTCACTGTCCCATGCAGTGGCACCTAGACCACAGCAACAGCTAAGAACAAGAGACCTGTACAAGATGAGCTGATAGCCAGCTGGCTTATAGTTCAAAGGGTAGAGGCTCCTATACCAGGCTCCAGAGGTTCCTGGGTTCAAATCCTCCTAGCAGCAGTTACACAAGCACCAGTAGTGCATTAAGCAACACAACTGCACATCTGTCGTGGTGTTTGGCCCTTTCCCCAGGGAGAGAAGTGGGTGCAGTGGACGCTCTTGCTTTGGTAAGGTTTGCGTGGGGGTTTCTTTTGTCCCACTGGAGATGGCAAATGTGTTGCCATTGGATGGGGTGAAATTAAGTACCGGAATTTACTGGCATGCAGCCTGGGTGGTCGGGACCCAAGGCAAGGTGTGGGGAAGTGACCAGCTCTGGACCTCTACAAGGGATGGGGGTAGGGACCAGACTCCTCTGGACAGCCCTTCATGACTGCAGCTGCCCTAGGGACCAGGAGCCGTGGGGCTGTGGCAGCTATTTGAAGTGTGTGTGTGTGTGTGGGGGGGGGTCCCATTGGGGAAGCAGCGGCAGCTAAATGCCTCAGGCCCTTTTAAAGCACTGGGCAGCTACCCCTTTTACTCCCCCCAGTCAGTGGCCCTGCTGGACCCTATCAACAGGGCTGCTGACGGGGGAGAGCAAAAGGTGCAGTGCCTTAACATCAGCCATTTACAGGCCAGTACCAGTGGCTGCTTCTTGCTGGCACACGATACCGGCCCCCTTTCACCTCAGTCACTGGACCCCCTCGAAACACCACAGTCCGTTCAGCACAGGCACGAGGGAGCAGAATGGCACACGTCTTTCTAGTCTTTTCTAAGTCAGCAAAGGCTGCCGCTGCTCTCCCCAACACATTGTGCCTTTTGATTTCCAGGGCCCCAGCAGCAGTGGGAAATGAGCTTTCTTCTATGAAGAAAAATATGCCCTTGTCATTGCCGCGGAAGCTGCTTCATAGCCCTGCTGGCAGTGCCTGGATGCAGCCTCCAAAACAATGCGCAAAATTGCTTTTAGAAAACACATATTTGTCTTGCAAGAGCAATAATGGCTGCACTTTGGGAAATGACTGGTCTTAATGACCTTCCATGCCAGACACTCTGCCCCCAGCCAGTCATCAATCTCCGGTGAATATCGTATCACCCGTCACTGTTACTTAGAGTCCTAATCTTAAGCGGCTGCTAAAGTCCCACTGTAATCAATGGGACAATTCACATGAATAAGGACTACTTGCCATGTGAGAATGGCTGAATTTGGACCCTCACTTAGGGCTTGACTTGGCAATCCTTATTCACATAGGAAAACAGTTCCATGAAATCAATCAGTGGGCATGGCTAGCTCAAATAAGGGCCTCTTAGCATGACTAAGGATTGAAGAATGGGGGCCATGAAGCCCAAGCCAAAATCTATTCAAGTCAATGGGCATCTTTTTATTTTCAGGCAGTCCAGAATATGCATTTACTATGTGTTCTCCTGGAAGCACATAGGTAACCTTATACATATCCCCAATAAATGGCAGAGGAGAGGGTCCTCCAAGATGTTCAGAATGACTCTGGCTATGTCTACACTACAAGGTTTTTGCACAAAAATGGCTGTTTTTGTGCAAAAACCGGCGGAGCGTTCACACCTCAAGTGTGTTTTTGCATAAGAAAATCTACAGAACAGAGGGCTTTTGCCAGTAGAGTTATTCCTCTCTTCACAAGGAATAAGCCCTCTTGCACAAGAGCTCTTGTGCAAGAGGGCTTATTCCTTGTGAAGAGAGGAATAACTCTTCCAGAAGAAGCCCTGTTTTCCGACACTAGACTGTAAATTTATTTGCACAAGACCGCGCGTGCAGTGTAGACACCCGGCAAGTTTTTGTGCAAGAACAGTCGTTCTTGCACAAGAAGCTGCCAGTGTAGACGTAGCCATACAGTATAGAATTTAGACACATGCTCAAGTCCCATTGACTCCTTAAAAATGAGATAGAATGAATCATTTGGTCCATAGAAGTCTGACGATGCTGTCTAGGATCATTTTATACTTTCTGGCTATGTCTCCATAGACATATCTGCCAGTCCAGAGAGACAGTCCCATGAGTGAGGACTGAACTAGCGTACTAAAAACAGCAGTGTGGACATTGCAGCGTGGACTCTGCCCAACTCATAATGTTCATCTGGCTATTTTTTGTGTATTAGCTGAAGCCCTGGGCTGGGAGGTTGTGCTTATACCTGGGCTGTGTCTAGACTGGCAAGTTTTTCTGCAAAATCATCTGCTTTTGCAGAAAAACTTGCCAGCTGTCTATACTGGCCGCTTGAATTTCCACAAAAGCACTGACGATCTCATGTAAGATTGTCAGTGTTCTTGCGGAAATGCTATGCTGCTCCCATTCGGGCAAAAGTCTTTTTCCAAAAAACTTTTGTGCAAAAGGGCCAGTGTAGACAGCAGAGATTTGTTTTCTGCAAAAAAGCCCCGATCGCGAAAATGGCGATCGGGGCTTTTTTGCGGAAAAGTGCATCTAGATTGGCCACGGATGCTTTTCTGCAAAAAGTGCTTTTGCGGAAAAGCATCCGTGCCAATCTAGACGCGCTTTTCCGAAAATGCTTTTAACGGAAAACATTTCCATTAAAAGCATTTCCGGAAAATCATGCTAGTGTAGATGTAGCCCTGAAGTATAGGCATACCTTCATTGACCTGAGCAGAGGAAGCCTCCAAAAGTCAATGAAATGCCAACTTATTTCTAAAATCTTGGCTTGTAAGGGGTGGTGCAGACATGTCCTGGTCACCATGGTATCCATTTAGCAGACTTTGTGGTTTTTATGCTTATATGCTGCACCAGGAATTTCTCTTAGAACTAGAGCACATTGGTGGCTGTGTGTTGTTGGCTTGTTGACCTTCCAATGTGGAATTTCCATCACTGGCAATATTTAAGAGCAAACTGGATAGACATTTATCAGGGATGATCTAGATGGTGCTTGGTCCTGTCATGAGGGTAGGGAACTGGACTTGACAACCTCTTATGGGCCCTGCTAGTTCTGGTGTTCTATGGTTCTGTGATTCCCAATGGACTAGAAGCTATGGACTTGAGGCTCCCTGGAATATGTTGATTCAGAACATAACCAGTAACCAAGAAGCTTCCTTTGGGCTTGATTCTGCCAGGGTTATGTTGAGCTGAAGCTCACTCTACCACTAGTTCCATTCATTTCAATAGACTGACTTGCAAAATAGGGTAGTGATCCCAATAAAGGTGACAGAGTGGGAACCTTAGATAATTCATTATAATAATGACAATACCACCATTCTGTTCTGGAAGGTTTTGTGTGTGCAGGCAAGGCATTTGGGACTCAGCATCATAGATCATAGCTCTACCACTATTTTAATTTCATGCCCCATAAAGCGTGTGGGAGGAAATGATGATGCAAGTGTGAAGTTACGAGTTAATAAAAGTATAAGCAAATTGCTAAACAACCATCTCAATTTAGCCTTTCACAAATTTAGTAACTGGGAACAGCTACAAAAGAAGGACAACTTGGAAAGTCTGAGGGAAACTTTATTTCTTTTTCTTTAGTTCTACCCACGCACCCGTCACAGCCCTCTTCCTTCTTGTTCTTCCAGTTCCTTTTGTCAAAATTAAAACTGTCATTCTCTGTGTTTAAAATTTGTATTTCATATTTATCCTCCGAGCAAACAGAAACCCGTGTCATGCATTTCATGTATCAGTCATTTATTAGTCTTTTTTATGCCATTTCTGTCAGAAATATTATGGGCTATAATTAAGCATGAATTTACTCCATCAAAGACGATTACTTAATGTGGACATTTTGCCAAACCTTTAGGAAAAGATTAAATGATTGATAAAAATCAATGGGAAATCCACTGACCAGCTTGTTGGGTTGGTCTAGTGCAGTCAAACAGCTTAAACAAATATTGTTGTATTGATTTTTTTTCTGACAGATATAAAGAACAGAAACTCTCCAAGGTCAAATCTAAAGTTTCGCTTTGATAAGCTTAGCCATTCCAGTTCCAGCACGGTACGTAATGTGTCACAGCTCCAGTTGTCCTATGTGTCTGAGCCGTGCGTGGATAGAGAATAGGAGCCAATTGCAGGAGGTTTCCTGATTCTCAGCAGCAGGCAAGTGGGGGGCCCACTATAACTTCTGTAAGCAACTTTATGCCTGTGGAGAATCGGGTATAGCAGTTCTATGCCCTGGAATACCTTGATAGGCCAGGCGAAGGAGGGATAGTTAGTGTGGCAGGCAGTTCTCATTGCACAATGTGACTGTAGCAGACTGGAGAATGCAGCTTTATGTCTAAGGGTGTGTCTACACGGCAAAGGTATTTTGGAATAACGGCCGATATTCCAAAATAACTATGCAAGCGTCTACACAGCAATTCGTTATTTTTAAATAATTTCAAAATAATGGATGGCTTATTCTGACTTCTGTAAACCTCATTCTATGAAGAATAACGCCTATTCCGAAATAGCTCTTTCAAAATGAAGCATGTGTAGATGTTCCACTGCTGCTATTTCGAAATAGCCCCTCACCAGGGCCATTCTAAGTTATTCCTCCTGGGGCTCTAAATCGAGATAACACGTCCACATGAGGGAAGCCTGCCTTGGACTAATAACTATTCCAGAATAGTTTATTCTGAAATAACTGTGCAGTGTAGATGTAGCCTGAGGTTGCAAATAGAGACTTTGCCAATCCACCTGACTCTCAGATAAATATATTCTTTTTTCATTTCTGTGGCTCCGTCTACATTCCTTCATACACTCAGAATAGCTTATTTTGAAATAACTGCAGTGTAGACATTGGCTAAGGGTCCAGCGCTGGTAGGATCTCTCACATCAGTCCACAAGAAAATGCAGACACAGGGAGGGAAGGCCATCTGATCTCCACCACCAACCCTACAGGGGGACAACTTGCAGGTTGCTCCAGAGCAGAACCCGAAGAGAAGTGTTCCAGGCTGAGGCATGTTCTGTGTGTAATGAAAGATCTGTTCTCTCCCATGCACACAGATCCCCCCTCCCCCACACACTAAATTATATGTGCTTCTAGCACATGTGGACAGTTTCTTACAATGAGTTACCAGAGTCGACATCATACATGCCAATTTAACAGAGACACACCAGCCCAGGAAGTGCCCACAACAGTCACCAAAGCATGCCATTCCCAAAGAGATTTTAATTTCTTCTGGCGTCAGGTGGCTCAGTCGTGCAAACTGGATAGAAGGCTTCTTTTATAGCAAGGAATGGGGGAGGCAGAAAAAGGGATTGGGAGATGCAGAGGCTCTGTTCAGGGCCAGTCCCTGTGTGATATCAGCGGGCCATCAGCTAGAGGTGGTCCAAATGCTTCAAAATTGCGATGAGTTGTCATTGTAAAAAATTTGTCGGCATTTTGTCCTTTATTTTTTCCATCCATTCTGATCCTAACAATGTGAATGTGAATGTAATTTCTGACCTTCCTGCCAGCCTGTGGCAAGTTAGGAAATACCGGAGGTACAGGGTAAAAAGCTTTTTACACAAAGCTATAGGACAAATCTGTATTGTGCTTATTTTCTTTTAGACTCACTAGCAGGAGCCAGACATCATGAACTTGTAAAAGGTAAGTGTTTTGTAATATGCTCTAAGATGATTAGTCCACCCCCCCTTCCAATGTATGTACAGTGCATGTACGTTGGTTTTGTCTAGCTTAAAAAGGGCTCTAGAAGTGATCCTGTCAATTAGACCAGTAAGTCTAACATCAGCACCAGGCAAATTAGTTGAAACTATAGTTAAGAATAGAATTGTCAGACACCTAGATGAACATAATCTGTTGGGGAAAGTCAACATGGTTTCTGTAAAGGGAAATCATCCCTTACTAATCTGCTAAAGTTCTTTGAGGGGCTCAACAAACGTATGGACAAGGGGGATCCAGTGGATATAGTGTACTTAGATTTCCACAAAGCCTTCAACAAGGTCCCTCACTAAAGGCTCTTAAGTAACGTAAATTGTCCTGGGATAAGAAAGAAGGTCCTCTCATGGATTGATAACTGGTAAAAGACAGGAAACAAAGGGTAGGAATAAATGGTCAGTTTTCAGAGTGGAGAGAGGTAACTAGTGGTGTCCCCCAAGGGTCCGTACTGGGACCAATCCTATACCAGAGAAAGGAGTAAATAGTGAGGTGGCAAAATCTGCAGATGATACTAAACTGCTCAAGATAGTTAAGACCAAAACAGAGTGTTAAGAGCGTCAAAAGGATCTCACAAAACTAAGTGATTTTAATGTTGATAAATACAAAGTAATGCACATTGGAAAAAGTATCCCAACTAAACATACAAATGGTCTAAATGCAGATGAAGTGGGTTGGGCTCATGAAAGCTCATGATACCATCTACGTGTTTTGTTAATCTTTAAGGTGCTGCAAGACTATTTGTTGTTTTTTAAGTTCTTTCCAGTTACAGATTCAGGGTGTGTCTACACTGCAGGGCTTAACTCAAAATATGCTTCTCAAATTGAGCTACATCAATTGCAAATCTTATTTCAAAATAGCTTATTTAGAAATAAGGAGCCTCTGCACAGCACTTATTTCGAAATAGAGCACTCTTCCTCTGACTTCCCTTACTCCTCGTACAATGAGGGTTACAGGAATCAGAGTAAGAAGTCCTCCAGCTTGACAGTATTTTAACACTATTTCAAAATAACTGCTTTCTGTGTAGATGTGAACTAAATTATTTTGGAATAGCCCTAGTTATTTCGAAATAGTGTTGCAGCGTAGACTTAACTCAAAAAAGCAAACAGAATGTTAGGAATCATTAAAAAAGTGATAGGCTGTGTCTACACTGGGCCACTTATTCCAGAAAAGCAGCCGCTTTTCCGGAATAAGCTGCGAGCTGTCTACACTGGCCCCTTGAATTTCCGGAAAAGCAGTGACGATCTAATGTATGAAATCAGCTGCTTTTCCAGAAAAACTATGCTGCTCCCGCTCGGGCAAAAGTCCTTTTTCCGGAAAACTGTTCAAGAAAAGGGCCAGTGTAGACAGCACAGTAGTGTTTTCCGCAAAAAAGTCCCGATCGCGAAAATGACGATCGGGGCTTTTTTGTGGAAAAGCGCTTCTACATTGGCCATGGACGCTTTTCCGGAAAAAGGGCTTTTCCGGAAAAGCATCCTGCCAATGTAGAAGCTCTATTTCCAGAAATACTTATAATGGAAAACTGTTCCGTTTTAAGCATTTCCGGAAAATCATGCCAGTGTAGACGTAGCCATAGAGAATAAGATAGAGAATATCTTATTGCCTCTTTATAAATCCATGCTACTCCCACATCTTGAATACTGTGTACAAATGTGGTTGCCTCATCTCAAAAAAGATATATTGGCATTGGAAAAGATTCAGAAAAGGGGTCTTTTATAGAGGTCTGTAGTATCATGACAGATATGGAGAAAGTGAATAAGGAAAAGTTATTTATTTGTTCCCATAAGAACAAGGGATCACCAAATGAAATTAATGGGTAGCAGGTTTAAAACAAACAAAAGGAAGTTTTTCTTCATTCAGTGTACAGTGAACGTGTGGAACTCCTTGCCAGAAGATGTTGTGAAAACCAGGACTTTAACAGGGTTCAAAAGAGAACTGGATAAATTCATGGAGGTTAGGTCCATCAATAGCTATTAGCCAAAATGGGTAGGAATGGTGTCCCTGGCCTCTGTTTGTCAGGGGCTGGAAATGGATGACAGGACAGGGATCACATGACGATTACCTGCTTTGTTCACTTCCTCTGGGGCACCGGGCATTGGCCACCGTCAGAAAACAAGATATTCGGCTAAATAGACCTTTGGTCTGACCCAGTATGGCTGTTCTTATGTTCTTAATTTTCAAAGCCCAAATGGGGTTTCCACCCGTTCCCTTTTGCAGTGATTATCTGGCAGACTAACAGATCTCATTGTGCTAAGGTCAACAGTTTTAGCTGTTGCACTGCTTTTTAAAGGAGTGGTTAGCATTTTTACAGTGAAACTAAGGATGTGTTTTGTTCACTCTCATAATTGAAAAAAAAAAGTCAGGCTGAGTAAATTGCTCAAATATCCTCCCTCACATTCCTGTTTGCAAAACAAACAGAAGACACTCCCCCCCTCCCCCCACACACTCACCAAACAAAAACATGACAGCCAGATAGACATTTGGGCAGGACTCATGAATGGAAACATTCAGCTCATAAGGCAAATTTTTGCAAATCTTAGCAGTTTTTCAACTTGTAACAATCTGGGGGGAGGGCAAGGTGTCCCAGTTCAGTTCTGAATTAGGGTTGCCAGGTGTCCGGTTTTGACCTGGACAGTCCAGTATTTGAGCTTTCTGTTCGGGAAGCAAATTGAGAAAATAGAAATGAGAAAATAGAAATGTCCGGTATTTTCTAAATAAGATGTAATGTCGATTGTGATGTACTGTCAAGTGTATCCGAAATTTTTGTTGAAACCATCTGGCAACCCTATTCTGAATAGATAGGTGTCCACAGCAGGAAAAGCCTGCACCAGAACAGGCAACAACTGTTTCATCAGAGAAGCCCCGAGGTTTGTCTCTTCTGTTTAATTGGTGGCCCCCTCCAAATCCAGGTTGAAATACACTGGTGAGCCACCTCGGGGAACTTGCAAGTAGGGATGTGAAAATGTGTATAATTGAGTAACTGTGTAACTGCTGAAAATGTCAGTGGTTACATGCGGGGCGGCAGTAGGCTTCCCTGGAAACTGGTGCACTCTGGGAGACGGCTTTTAAGTGGGCTTCTGGCACATACAGGCTTCCACCTGCTGCTCCACTCATGGGAGCTGGCTGCTGCCCTGTGCTGCTGCCTCTGATACAGAGGCAGCAGAGCACAGTGGTAGTCAGCTCCCCGGAACCAGTACGTGTCAGGAGCTGGCTTTTAAGTCAGGTCCTGGCTTGCACCAGCTCCCACTTGCAGCCTCAATCCTGGGGAGGTCCCACACTGCTGCTCTGATACAGCCTGCGTGTAACTGGGAATGTTCACCAATTAGCCCAGCCTTATCAGAGAACCATTTCCATAGTTAAACATTCACATCCCCACTTGCAAGGCCAAGGCCCCCATCCAGCGTTGGAAATTTTGTAGTTTTATTGCAGGTCTTGTGGTCTTTCTGGTTTTCCTTAAAGCCCCCGCTGGTAGCGTCATGTTACTTCACAAAAAGCTCAGCATTCATTCAATTACAAAGCTTCTTAAGCCCTCCTAGTTGGGGTGAACAGCTTCAAACCATGAGCGCTAAAGACTCAAAACCCAGCAGTGTCCCAACAAGTATAATTTTTAAAAAATCAGACAATTTTCAAACCTGACTCATGAGTCGTCAGTATTTAAGACTTAACAGTGCTGTAAGCTATAACTCTTCTGTGACTTCAGGGGGTAATGGAGAGACACCGCAATTGTGAAAAACCTGGCCTTTCCTTTTTAGGAGCGATGAATACTCTGAGCGAGTCATATGAGCCTGACTCGAAGCGGCTTCTGCTCAGACCACACTTTCACTTGCAGGTGAAAGTTTTTACAGCCTCGTAGTGCTTGGTAGCACTCAAGGGGCATGTCCTCTTCCTACTATCACTGACACTCGTGAGAATTTTCTCTTTTTCCCAATCGCTGATGTTTTTACGCTCTCTTGTTTCCTTTCTTTGGCAGGTTTTCTGTTATAACAAAGGGAAAACTCTTCTCTTCCACTATCAAATGGGAAACCCCATGAGCTACACGAATAGCAATGGCCACGCTGCATTGTGAGCTCTTCACCCACTCAGCTGTACCTTTAAGTGAGTCGAGAAGAAACTGCCATCTAGTAGTAACGTCTGTATTCTAACAAGAACCCATCAGTGCAGAATGGTAACACATTGCTCGACTCCCGTTTTGTCTGATAAACCCTCCATTCTCGCACTGCATCTGGAAATGCATTTCTGCCATGTACTTGAAGTCCCTTCACCCTCTCGCTCGGTACTCTGAAACGTGCTAACCTTGTGTGCACCTTGTATGTACGGTAGCTATTTGTCTTAAGATGAGTGCTGTTCATCTTGTGTTGCTTGGACTGGGAAAAGACAGTTCAATGACAAATCCTGTTTCCTCTAGGCTTTTTCATATTGCAGTTCTGTGTCTATCCATTTGCGCTCGCAGATGATTTTCTTTATCTAGAAAGTAGGCAGGACAGCTATTCTCTGTTGGCTCAGGATGTCTCTGTGCTTTGTTTTTAATTACCCAATGAAAAACAACTGGTCAGGTTTCTTTGGTTTGTTGTTAAGGGTGGGGGGAGCTTGCACAAGTTCTTTCAAACCTATTTATTTGTCTCTTAGCTTGGACAGGAGGGATTTCCTCCACCTCCGTTAAGGGATTTTGGAGCAAATCAAAGGCAAAATTCTGTGCTGCTGAAAATCAGATCTCTGTTGACTTCAGAGAAGCACCATGGAGGGAGTCCTGGGTTTTTTTCCTGGCCCCTGTGAGTAAACTTGGGCAGTAACTTCTGTCTGCCTGTTCCCTTCCCCTGAGTTGGGGTGGGAGCTGTCGCAGAAGATGGGCTTGTTCAGTGCCTAGCACAATAGGACCTCCAGGCACTCACACACTGGAAATAATAGTAATGGAGGTGCCACCATTTTACTTTAGAGAATTTGGCTATCACTCTCGAGGAGGACATATGGGCTGGAGAATATCCATGTGGCTGAAATCTCTCTCCAGCAAACAAATGATAAGCTGTTAAGATGCTGACTTTTGTTGTTTGTGTAAATTCACTTGGCAGGACTGCATAACACACCAGCTTGGAGAAAGTGCCTCCCCTTTGCTGTGTAATGGCTTATACGCATGCTGCGGGGAGGAACTGCTAAGGCAAAATAGGGCCGGGAAGAATGGGAAAAAATGCAGTGAAAAGAGAGTGATGCATGAGCAAACACCACACTCTCATAACCAAAAACCCACGTCTCCAGCTATTGCTCTACAGCCCCCTGATTCCACATCCCCTTGGGGGGAATGCTGGTTCATGCAAACAGGGCTTTAATAAGGTTCTCCTTTGGTTGGGCTGCGTCCGTGCGGGTCATATTTTTATAGGGGCTGGGATGGTACACAAGAGCCTGCAGAATAACCTGGGCCCACACAAGCTCCTGGGAGATATCACCAGAGATTCTGCATGTCACCCACGTAGTAAAGTAAGTTTGCTACTAGAAAAGGGGCATAGATGGGAGAGCAGGGTGTAAAATGTATAAATATACAACAGATTTACAGGGTTGTGAGAAGAGTCAGGCATCTTCCCCCCCCCCCCCATTTTTTGTTCCACTTGATGCTTTTTAGATTTCACTCCCACCTCCTAGGTCAGTTCATCAGTGTTACCCCAAGGGCATTGTTGAAGAACACCTCGATCCCTTACTACAGCTCAATTGCTGTGGACAAAGAGCTAGGACCTGAGCGTCCCCACAGTTCAAATGCAGAAATTTAATCAGCCACCAGGGTGTGAATGTATGTCTGTTGCCCTGCACTTTTTATTTCAGTGCAATGTGAGCGTGGGACGACATCATTCTGATTGGCTGCTTTGCACCATGTGACTGACAGGACAAGGTGTACTGCAAGACAATGGAGATTAGCGTCTGGCTGATTGTTTAAACTTCTAGTACTATGGGAACCCATTACATTAATAAAAGAACCTTTTATTTTTATCAGCAGCTGAATTGCAGTGAGAGGGGGAAGTGCTTTCTATAAATAAAAACCCTTTTCTCCTGCCCCCACATGCTCACAGCAGCCCCAAAAGGAGCCACTAAGCTGCTGTTGTGGCGTGGTGACTGACTGATTGCAGCCAGGGCTACACTCAACCTGGAAGATTGGGTTAAAGTATACACTTCTAGCAAGTACTCCCGTCAGCTTTCCTTACGCCTTGCGACTGCCAGGAGTACCAGTGCTGACTGGCACTGCCCTCAGCGTTCGATTTAGTGGGTCTTAACTAGACCCGCTAAATTGAATGCCAGAAGAACGATCTCCAGCATGGCAAGTGAAGACGTGGCCTATTAAGTAGATCTCAAAAGCACCTACTTACTGCCTTTTATGTACCAGAGCATCACCAAGTGATGCTCCAGTGACATTAATGGAGCTATGCTGACTTTCACCAATGTAACAAATGTTAGGTTCAGGGGAAAGACTGTTAATATTTTTTCAGTAACTGAATTGC